GAATCATGCCCCTTCAGTGATTCTGTGAACCCTGTTGGATCTTTCCCACAGCTGAAAACATGCTCAGCCCGGCTCAGTGTCTAGCACAGAGAAAATGGTCAAAAACAATTGAATAAACACTTAACCTATTGCTCTCCTAAAAAGCAAAACCCTCTGGATTTGCATACCTCTCAAGTTCCTCAAAAATATACCCCGACGCCGACATTGAACATTCTTTCCTCATGTACCCTCACTCTTCAAGCCAAATGCTTCCAGCTTCAGAACCCTCTGGCATAGGTCTCCAGTGATTCCTATACGCCAGACCCAATGCGTTCTTGTCACTTCTCCTTGGCCTCTCAGAAGCTTCCAAGCTGTGACCTCTCCCATGTCACTGAGACATACACTGTCCACCCCCACCCCGAGGGTTCCCTGTTCGCTCAGGTCCTCCTGCTCCCGGCTTCTCCTTCGTTCTCCTTCACCAGCTTCTCCTCTTCTGCCTGACCCAGAAACGTTAAGTGCAGCACTGCCCCTCGCACCCTTCAGCCTCCCTGGCGGTCTCATCTATTCTTATGGTTTCGACTTTAACTTATATTATTTAATTCCCCCAAATCTATATCTCTAGCCTAGACTTTCCCTAGAGCTCCAAATCTATACAAGACATCTTTATCTGGATGTCTAGTAATCACTTTCCATTAAACACTCAAAAGATGCTTTCTGAGCACCTACTGTGTGCCAAGAACCATGCTAAGCACTGGAGATACACTGGCAAGGTGGGGCAGGCGTCTGCCTCCCAGAGCCGCGTGTAATGGGAAAAACAGACAAATGAGCAGCTGTGGGGAGCTATGGTAAGAGAAATGCCAAGTGTTGGTCGGGGGGGGAGGCGGGGGGAGCTGGGTACCTCGCCTGTCTGGGGAAAGTGACTTTGAAAGGTAGATAGAACCTGAAGGATAAGAAGGAGTAGGGGTAGGTGTGGCAAGAGGTTCCCGGGAAATGATTTTAAAAATGTATGGAGAACTTCTAAAGCTAAAAGAGTGAGTCTGGACTTTATCTTAAGAACAGTAAGAAGCCACTGAAGAAGAACTGGATGGAGGGGTTGCCACAGGGCACTTCCAGGCTTGGCAGTGGTTGAGTCTTAAGGCAAATGGGAAGCCCATGAGGCTTTTGGTTTTTTTTATGAGGTTTTTTTATTTTGTTTTTTGTTTTTTACTTATGAGGTTTCATATACTCTTTTGTGCATATCGAATGTTTTGCAACCTTTTGTTTTTTTAAATAAATGGATCGGAGAAGGTGAGATAGGTAGAGAGAAGAGTAAGAAGGTGACTGAAGCAGAAAACAGTGGCCTGAGTTAGGGTAGTCAGTGAGGGTGAAGACTGGGAGACGGTTCTAGAGACACTTAGGAAGGAGAATCAGCTGGACTTGGTGAGTCCTGGAATGTGGGGATATAGAGAGGGAGGAGTAAAGAAGAACTGACAAGGTTCTGGAGTATTAAGTGGATGGATGGTGAAGCCATTGATTGAAATAGAGATCACTAGGAGACAGTGAGGAAAAATAACAAAGTCACTGGAAAACAGTTTAGCAGTTTCTTGAGAAGTTCAATATAAATTTATCATACGACCCAGCAATGCAATCCTGGGTATACACCCAAGACAAATAAAACAATGTCTACACAAAGATCGTCATGCCAATGTTTATAGCAGCACTATTCATAATAGCCAAAAAGTGGAAAATTCCAAATGTCTGTGAATTGGCGAATGGATAAACAAAATGTGCTATAGCCATACAGTGGAATATGACTGGCAATAAAAAGGAAAAAAGCACTGATGCGTTCTATAATATGGACGAACCTCAAAACCATTAAGCCAAAGTCAAAGAAGTCAGACGCAAAAGATCACATATTATGTGATTCCGCTAATAGGAAAGACAGAAAGTAGATTATTGGTTTCCTGGAGGTTGGGATGAGAACAGAGACTAATGGTAAATGAATAAGAGGGATCTTTTGGGATGACAGAAATGTTCTAAAATTGGATGGTAGTGATGTTTCCCGATTCTGCAAACTTATTAAAAATTATCCAATTGTACAATTACCAAAAGATAATCTTCTGTTATATAAACTGTACTACCAAAAAATGCTATTAGAAAATAATCAGGTCAGTTTTGGCATGTTGAGTTTGAGGTGTTTAGGACTCATTGAAAAGGAGAGGTTGAGTAAACAGGTGGTGATGCTACCTGAAGCTTAGGAAGCAAATGCTGCACAGGAGGTAGAGATTTTCTAGATTCATCAACATAAAGATAGCGGTTGGAGCCACAAGAGGGAGGAAAATCACCCAGAGTGGATAGAGAGAGAGTGTGAAGTACTAACGGAGTTGAGTGGGGCCAGACTCATAAGCCCGAGGCGTGCGGGAGAGCCACGACTTTCGGCATAAGGCAATGACGAAATAGAAAAGGCAGAGTTCAGGGTGCAGTGGCTTCGTGACAGAAAGTAAATGGCCAGAACTACAGAGTCCAGAAGTTGATATTCAAGGCCCTCAAGGAAGTGGTTCTGCTTACTTCTCCAGGCTTACTTCTTCTCACCGTGGAACCCCATCCCTTAAAGTTCAGGGATCCCGCCATATGGAATTGTTCGTAGTTTCCCAAACAGGTCATTTTCTTTCCCACCTTCTTCTATGTTCTCACGTGGCTTCTCCGCAATGTTCTAGAAACCAACCCTCCTCTCTCCCCACACACTCCTGGAACTCAACTCAGTGCTCGTCTTCCTCATTTACCTGGCGCGTTCCTGCTCCTGTTCAATATGGGGCAAGGTTAACCTGGCCTCTGAAGCCTTTCCTATTGCCCATCCCCCACGTGGGACAGGCTGCTTCCTTCTTCACAAGAGACTTCCGCCATATCACTAGTAACGCTTCACACACTTTCATTTATTTCCACGTCTGTCTTCTCATAGGGCTTGGAAAGCATTCTGTTTGTTTTCTCATTCACAGTACCGGACCTACAGTAAGTACTGAATAAACCCAGTAGAGGAAATCTCCACTCAGCCAGCCT